CCAGCTGGACAAAGAAGCCCTCGCCATTGTTTCAGCAGTAAAGTGATTCCACGAATACATTTATGGTAGGACATTTTCCATTATTACAGACCATAAGCCCCTACTTGGCATATTGGCGGGTAACAAACCCACTCCACACATCCTGTCACCTAGAATGACAAGATGGTCTGAATTTCTTGCCGCTTATAATTACCAATTAATACATCGCCCAGGCAAGACTATTTCGCACGCCGATGCGTTAAGCCGCTCTCCTTTGCCAGACTTGCAAGATGACCCAGCACCCACATTACCAATTTTGCAAATAGAAACCCATGCCACCATTAACCAAATAGTACCCATGCCACCATTAACCGCACAAGACATTGCCCATGAAACAAGAAAGGACAAACGCTTGGCGCGAGTTCTCAGCTGGGTGGAGAGGGGATGGCCAGAAAACGAGCAAAACGAACTTTTTAAACCGTTTAAAAACCGGCAAACTGAACTCTTTTCACAAAGGGGTTGCATGTTGTGGGGAGACCGGGTGGTAATACCATAGATATTACAGAAAAAAGTTTTAGACTTGCTGCATGATGGGCACCCTGGCATTGTACGAATGAAAGCCCTGGCCAGGAGCTATGCTTGGTGGCCAGGCATGGACAAGCAAATTGAAACTTGGGTCGCCGCTTGTAACAGATGCCAAGAGACTCGCTCGGCTCCTCCAAAAGCCCCACCATTAGAATGGGAGACACCCAGAGGCCCTTCGTCGTGCATCCATATCGACTTTGCAGGGCCGACCAAGGGGCATACCTTCTTTTCTTTTTTTTTGAACAAATTTTATTAATTTTTAAAGACATACAAAACATAAACACACAGAAACACAAAACATAGAAACATAAAAAACCTCTTTTCTGAAAGTTGCTTAGTCCCAGGTTAAAACTCTTGGTACAGACACAAATTCAAATTCATATTCATTTTGCATACCATTCCATATACTGTATGAACAGGCATCGGCTGTTCTTATTTATGCTACACAGATAAGGCAAGGGTCAGCTGCTAAAATCAAAAGCTGCAGTATCCACATGGAAAATAGTTACAAGGCAGTAATGTGAAGTAAACTGAAGCATGTTTGAGTTGGAGACCAAGAGACTGCTGTCAAACTAACAAGTCAGGCCTAATATAACATTTCCTTCCTTCATTTTTGCCTATCTTCTATGCCACTCTCAGCCATTGCTGAAGCCGACATAGCAAGTTCCAGTCCAGATTCCAATGGTTTGCAATTATTGACTGTTGTGCTTCTCACCTTTCCCATCTGTGCAGAAAACGCAAGCCTTGTTGACAGATACTTGCCTTCCTTTTTGGAATTGTTTCTGTTAAGTATGGTGGGTGGGTCCCATTGAGAGACGAGGCTCAAGTAGTGAACAACAGCTCTTTATTTAGGATTCTGAGATTCTGAGACAAGAACCCTAGCCGCGGCAGCTCTTTTTATAGAGCTGGCCGCGGCTAGACAGCCTATGACAGACTTTTGAGCTTGCCGCGCTTGGTTTTACCCAATCGCGGCAAACCACATGCGAACCAATCAGGATTGCTTTATATCGTCCAATCACGGCCTGGCTCTTCCGGACCAATAGGAATGCAGGCCTACAAGCCTGCTAGTATGGAACACCCCTCCCCTCTTGGTTCCGTCCAAGGGGCGGGGTAACGTAGTCACGCAAGTAGGTGGGTCTTCGTACCTGCCTACTTGACTTGCGCGGTTCACAATGTCTCTGGTCATCGTCGGGTTCGGACGGGCTCCGCGTCGCTCTCAAGCTCCTCGATGGAACTGCCTGGAAGGGTGAGCTGGGCCTATAGCTGCGACTCCCACCTGGTGATTCCGGGTCGGTTGAGTCGTTTGCTCTGTTGCTCCCGCCTGGGTTCTCTGGGCTGGTAGAGCTTGTCCGGCTGCTGCTTCCAGGCGAAGTACCAGTCTGCCACAAATCCCTGCTGGCTGGTAAGTATTGTTGGTTTAATGTTTGGTTTTTATTTGATGTGTATGGGGGGTGTTCTGCTTGTACCGGTGCCAGTTCTTTTTCGGAGTTTGAGGTCCCCCCCTCTGATTTCTTGGTTAGAGTCTGAGGGGAAAAGTGGCCAGCCTGGATCTTAGCTGGTCAATATGTCGTTTCCACGACCTCCCATCGGTGGTCTCGAGCCGGTAGGAGCGATGGCCTGTGATTTGGGTGATTTTTGCAGGGAGCCAAAGTGGGTCCCCCGTAAAGTTTTTTGCAAAAACAGTGTCTCCTACTTTGAAGGCGCGGTACTTGCTGCTGGAGCCAAGGGGTCTTTCCAGGGTGTAAGCAGGGTGCAGGCGGTCCAGGGGTGACCGGAGTCTTCTCCCCATTAGCAATTCTGCTGGGCTTTTGTTGGTAGTGGTGTTTGGTAGTGGTGTTTGGTATTAGAAGCATTTTGGTGACTTTCTCATGGATGTTGCCATGTTCCATTTTTTGAAGAGTTTTTTTTGTAAATTGAACCATGCGTTCAGCCGGGTGAGCTGGCGATGTCAATGCGTGTCGGATGCCGCGGTCTGCCAAGTATTGTTCAAAAGCCAAGGCGGTAAACTGTGGGCCATTGTCAGATACTATCACACCTGGCAGACCATGCGTGGTGAAAAGTCTATTTAATTTCTTGATGACAGCTTCCGTGGTGGTTGTCTTCATTTTGCTCACCTCGAGCCAATTCGAGTAAGCGTCAACAGTGATTAAGAAGGTATGCCCCGAGAACTTCCGGTTTGCAAGGCTTCGGCAGCGGCAGGGATTCGCGATACTGCACGATCCCTGCTGCGTTCGCTGCCAAGGTTCCCCCGATCCACTCGGATTTGGGGGATATAGCTGCCCCATAGAGGCAGCTGAAGACAGGGGGGATCCGGATAGGGGTTTGGGGGTGTCGCAGACCCCTTCCCCACCCGGCAAAACCCCCTTTTCCCAAGGCGGAGGAGCGGCGGTCAGTAATGGCCGCCACAAAGAAACCTGCAGCCGGACAAGATTGTGCAGGAGGGAGAAAGTTGGAAGAGTTGTGAAAGTGGTTTTTGACTGGGACAAAGCAAGAGAAAGTACCCTGGAACTTTGAAAGTTGCTAAAAATACATTGTTTCCAGAGAGAGTTACAAGCAGCGAATGGAATCCTAAAAGGGAAAGTTCTTTTTTTTTTCTTTTCACTCTCCTTCCTAACGTGACAGCGGATGGAATCATAAGAGAAATCGGAAAACCTGCATCGGAGGTAATTGAATGCTGAAGGGATAAGGATTTCTGAACACTTAAAAAAAAAAAAGAATCTTTTTGGCTGTGAGTGGGAAGGGAGAGGAAAAAAAAATTGGAGCAAAATTTGAAAATAAGGAGAAGATTGCCTAGAATTCTAAAGAGTTGCTAAACATTAATAAGACTTCTAAAAGATATATTTTAAAGGGAACTTTGTGACTAAACTTTAACCCCAGAAGGAGAAAGTATTTAAAAGAAACAGCTTGTTTGGATTGTTTGGTGATTTTGGAACTTCTGAGAATTATCTTTGATTAAAAGCACTTGGGTGGTTATTTGGAAAAACTTTTTCTCTATACAATGACATCACTTGTGGATGGATTGAAACTTGTATACCAAAAATATGAAAAAGAAAAGCAAGGGAAGGATGTTCTTGGCACTCTTTTTCAATTTTTAGAAATGGCGGTTTGTACTTATGTAAAGCTGAATGAGCAACAGGACGACTGGGACAAAGAAGAAGCCATTTTTGATGAACAAGTGACTTTGGTCAGGGAAGGAAAGGAGAAAGAGAAAAAGGAAAAGAAGACTTTAAGACTTGGAAAAACAATCAAAAAAGAGAAGAATAAGGTGAAAAGGGGATATTATGTTAAAAAACAACAGAAAGGAGGAAAGCAGAATAAAAGGGAGGTGGAGAGACAAGGGGGTAAAGAGGACAAGGAGAAGAATAAGCAAGGGAGAATGGAAGGGATGAGAAGCCTTAATGGTGGGGAGCAAGATGCAAAGAAACAAAAGTTTTTTAGAGATAATGGGTAAATTTTATTGAAAAAGGGATTCTAGAAAGGTACATAAGATTGTATTTTTACATTTGTACTTAGAAATAACCTTAGAAAATTGGAAATAATATGCAATTTAAAATGTGATAAAATATTTAGTATAATTTAGTGAAATTTTTGTTAAGAAAAGGGGAGTACTTCAATGAAACAATGATTTAAGATATGTGATGTGGGGGGGGGGGAATAATTTTGGAAAGCATAAGTGTTCCCATAAAGGCATGATATTTAACTGAAATGGGTAAAATGCTTAAGATATAAATGATTGTTAATATTAGTGATTAGACTATGTTATCCTAGTGAAATTTTTTGTGAAATGAGAGATTTGAAGTAGGAGAAGGGGGAACATTTTAATGAACTAATGATTTATAATATGTGATGTGGGGGTGGGGGAATAACTATGGAAAATAGGTGCTCCCATAAAAGTATGTGATTTAACTGAAAAGTAATGTGCTAAATGTTTAAGATATAAATGAATATTAATATTAATGAATAGATTTGTATTGGTATTGATAATATTGTATAATTTTAGAATGTACCAGACAGAATCCCAATGTAAGCTATGTATTCTATATTAAGTATTATAAATATAGGGGAAAGAGATAAAGGCATCATACTCCAATTAGCGTACAGGAGAAGTTTTCTTCAAAGAAGAAAGATAAATGGATAGCTGGAAATAGAACAGACAAAGAATAATAAATATTATGATTCGAATTGAGAGGAGATAAATAAAATAAAATTGAGAAAATTTAAAAGAGAGGAGAAGTTATATAGAAAATTGAAAATGCTAATAAGACCCTTCTAGGCCCAGGTCTTCCCACCATGCTATTTGGGAACACTGACTAAAAGGAGAAGCTGCTTCTCAGTGCGCACTCTTCTTTTTGATGGCAGGCATTACCACTGCACTACCACTGAGGCAGCAGATAGCAACCAACCTAAGAACTCGAAGCAAAGCAGAGTTCACTTTCCCAGCCGCCGGAAGCTGCCTTTCTGTATGCTTGAAAGGATACAGCAGGAAGATATCACATTGCTCTATTTTTGATCTTTCGTCAATAAAGGGAGGCGATGAGGGGAACTAATAGCCCCACCCAGTGGCGACTCTATCTACATACCTTCTCTTCCCTTGACTGGAGAGCGCAGCCAATGGACATGCGACTAAGGCGTGTTCTAGCGGGCGTGGGTGGATGAGAGAAGAAGCGTGTTAGTGGGGGGCTGACAGGCACAGAAAAAGATCGCGGTTAGATTTTCATTATCCATCATGGCATCCAAGTGCCCCAAGTGCGACAAGACTGTCTACTTCGGTGAGTCTTTTTGTCCTTCTTTGTGTTATTGTATTTCTCGGGCGTGTATCTCCCTCTCTCGTGTTTTCTAAATCCTGCAATTTAGAGATTTGAGCATTCTACCCCAGCTATTAGTGATGTTTGGCTCTCTTTTTCAATGACACATTACAGTTCTCTGCCCTGGCTGAGAAACTGCCTTCTGGAGCGCCGAGACTATGTTGGGTGGGTTGGAAGGGGGTCAGCCTTCTTTCCAGGGAGCGATATGTAACTCAGTTTCTTTCCACTCTCAAAAGTGCATCTCTAAAATAAATGTTATTGATTATATGGAAAAATTATGATTTGTTCATTGTGGGAACCCAAAGATCAGCCAGTGTAGGTGGTATCTCAATTCCCTTTGTTATCTATCATCACTCCTCTCATCACTTTGAGATATTTTCCAGTTGATGACTGAGATGCCCTTAAAACAAAAACAGGTCTTCCTATGGAAGTGCATTATGATTTTCCTAAACCCTTGTGGATTAAGGTTAAAGGTTTTTAATTTGCAGAGGATGCAGGTTTTAGAAAACTTCATTTTTTTCTTAAAAATCAAACAATTCCTCTGTTTCTCCAGCTGCTTCTTCCAAGAAGTTAGGAATGGTTCAAATTCCCCTCTTCAGCCATTTCCATTTATTATATATTAACCCCACCCAAGGCTATTGCTGCATTTCTATGGTGTCCATGTCAGCTTCAGTCATGGTAAAAAATAGAACTTCAATTTTCATAACCAATAGAATCCCAGAAGTTACAGACAAACAGAAATATCATCAAAATGCTCTACTTGGAAATTTCTTTAAAATGTATGGCTGGTAGATGTTGGAAACACAACAGAGAACTCCAGAAATTCTTTTGTCCCACACATACTCTTCTCCCTCCCTCTCCCTCCCTCCCTCCCCACCCTCTCTCTATATATTTAAAAATTCTCTTCCTTTCCATATTTATTCCAGGGCCTGTTAACTACTTTCCAAGAAGGAAAACTTTTATCTAAATAAGTTCTGTGTCATAATCAAAATACATTACTATTTTTGTCACTTAGACTAGTGCTGCTGTTGGGTTAGTAGCATATCTGATCAGTTACTGTTCTTGTTTAAGATAAAGCATATTAAATGGGAAGCTGCTCTACTAGAAGGACCAGCTCAACAATTATCTATTCTACTGGAACAGAGCTTTGTTTTCATATATGACCTTAAATATTTCAGGGGGCATTGGTTGGAAGGAAATGATCAACTTAAGCATGAAATCAGTTTGGTCTAGGAGTTAAGGCACTTGGCTAGAATGCAAGAGACCATGAGTTTAAACCCCGTCTTGGCCATGAAACTCAGCTTGTTTGGGTAACCTCGGACTAGTCACTGTCTCAGCCCAACTCACCTCACAGGGTTGTTGTAGGGAAAATAGGAGGAGGAAGATGTGTTGGATAGGTTTGCTGCCTTGACTTGTTTGTAAAAATAACAGAGGCAGGAAACAAATTCTGTGCAGGTACAGGTAAGACAATAGTTGGTCATCTTTACAAAAGCATTTGTAACTGGTCTGTTCCCATTCTTTTTGTTGGAAGCAGCTTCTGTGTGAGAAGATGAGAAACATACAATGTTTAAGATTGAGAGTAGGTGGGTTTTTATACATTCTTTGGGGCTTTGTGATTGACATGCTGTTCCTTTGTAAGAATATGTCCTTCAATATTTTAATGGCTGTTGCCAAATTCCTATGGGGTCATGTAAGGGTCATGGCTGGCTCTACAGGCAAAAGGGATAATGCAAATCCTAGGTGTTTGTCTGAGATAATCTTGTCAGTTTGGACTCCTTGCCTATTGCTTATTTAGGATTTCTGGCTGCTCTTTGCTTATGAATAAATTGACCCAGTTTTTCTGAATTAATACAAATTCTCCATCCCTAAAATCTAGCCTCTTCAAGAGATTATTACAGAATGACAGAGCTGGAAGGGACCTTGGAGGTCTTCTAGTCCAACCCCCTGCTTAGGCCGGAAACCCTATACCATTTCAGATAAATGGTTATCCATTTATCTCTTCTTAAAAACCTTCAGTGTTGAAGCATTTACAACTTCTGGAGGCAAACTGTTCCACTGATTAATTGTTCGGTCAGGAAATTTATCCTTAGTTCTAGGTTGCTTCTCTCCTTGATTATAGTTTCCATCAGAGGTAGTATTAAGCAGATTCTGACTAGTTCTGGAGAATCGGTAGCGGAAATTTTGAGTAGTTCGGAGAAGGGGCAAATACCACCTCTGACTAGAGATTTTACAGTATCCTATCCCTGCCATGCCTACCAAGCCATGCCCACAGAACTGGTAGTAAAAATATATTGAATCCCACCACTGTTTTCCATCTATTGCATCTTGTCCTGTCCTCAGGTGCTTTGGAGAGTAGGTTGACTCCCTCATCTTTGTGGCAGCCCCTGAGATATTGGAATATTGCTATCATGTTACCCCTAGTCCTTCTTTCATTAAACTAGACATACCCAGTTCCTGCAACCATTCTTCATATGTTTTAGCCTCCAATCCCCTAACATCTGTGTTGCTCTTCTCTGCACTCTTTCTAGAGTCTCAACATCTTTTTTATATTGTGGCGACCAAAACTGATTTCCAAATTTGGTCTTACCAAGGCATTATAAAGTGGTGTTAAAACTTCACATGATCTTGATTCTATCCCTCTGTTTATGCAGCCTAGAACTGTGTTGGCTTTTTTTGGCAGCTGCTGCTCACTGCTGGCTCATATTTACTGTAAATGATTGTCCACTAGGACACCAAGATCTCTCTCATAGTTGCTATTATTGAGCGAGGTACCACATATACTGTACCTGTGCATTTTGTTTTTCTTGCCTAAGTATAGGACCTTACTTTTTTCACCACTGAATTTCATTTTGTTAGATAGCGCCCAATCTTCAAGTCTGTCAAGACCCTTCTGTATCTTAAGCCTATCTTCTGGAGTGTTGGTTATTCCTGCTAGCTTGGTGTCGTCTGCAAATTTGATGAGTTCCCCATCTATCCCCTTGTCCAAGTCATTGATCAAGATGTTGAAGAGTACTGTGCCTAAAACAGAGCCTTGGGGTACCCCACTGCATATATCCCTCCATATAGATGCAGTTCTATTGAGGATTATACGTTGAGTACAGTTGATCAGCCAGTTACAAATCCATCTGGTGTTGATGCTGTCTTTCTTATCAAGTAGTAGGTTATGGTCTACTTTATCAAATGTCTTACTGAAGTCCAAGTAAATTATAGCACTCCTCTGGTCCACTAATTTTGTTACTTGTCAAAGAATGCAGTAAGATTTGTCTGTTTGCTTTTGGTTATTACTTTGTGTTGAATTTATGTTTTACCGACAAAGAAATAAAGGGAGATTAGTATAGATCTATTTCAAGCTATTTAGCTCTCATCAGCTAGCCATACCCTTCTGGGATTCTGGGTAACCCGGGCTACTTACATATTAGGTAGATGATTAACCCCTAAGCCACGGATCCTCCTCAACTTGTTGGCTGTACCAGGGGAAGAATTAAGTGTTTTTTTAAAAAAATCAGGGCAACCTGGTCTACCCAACTATGGGACAGAGCTTACTGTTCCGCTTTCACCTTTCAGCCCCAATCCAAGACCCTTCACAGGCAGTTGCTTTCATGACAAACTATATCAGCTCTTTTCCAGTCCTCTGGCAGCTTCCCAGTACTCCAGGATTTTTGAAAGATATAGTTCGGTGGTTCTGAGATCACGTCGGCCAGTTTCTTCAGAATCATGGGGTGTAATCCATCTGGTTCTGGTGATTTGAACTTGTCTAGGGTGGACAGGTGCTCACCATTTTCTTCCCTATTTTAACTTGTGTTCCTAATCTATTTTTTGCAGTGCTGTTTTTGATAGATTGGACTGTTTTCCTCCCCTTTGTGTAAAGAGGAATGCAAAAAAACAAGTTAAGGAGTTCTGCTTTCTCCCTGTTGCTTGTCACTTCTTGCCACTTTTTCCAACCAAAGGACCAATCATTTCTTTGACTTTTTTCTTGTTTTTAACATGTTGAAAAAAGCTTTTTTTGTTATTTTTTTACTTTTGTCACAAGCCCTAGTTCATTATGAGCCTTAGCTTTCTCACTTCATCTTTGCAGGTTTGGGCTATTTGCTGATATTCTACCTTAGTTATGTGCCCCTCTTTCCACTTTTTATACTTGTCCTTTTGTCTTTCAATTTATCAGAGAGTTCTTTATGCAGCTATGCTGGTTTCTTTTGAGAGCAATTATTTTTCTTCTTCATTGGTATTGTGTTAAGAGTCGGCTTTTATAATCTCACTTTTCAAAATTTCCCAAGCTTTTTGAGTTGCTTTCCCCTTGAGGATTCTCATCCATGGAATCCTTCCCAAACTCTCTCTATTGAAATTAGCTCTTTTAAATTCTAAGACTCTAGTTTGACTGTTCTATTGCTTGTGCTTGCATATTGTTGAATTCCAATATTATATTATCACTTCCCCCCAAGGTTCCTGTAGCTTCAACACGTTCTATCATTTCATCTCTGTTAGTGAGAATTAAGTCCAATATGGCTGATCCTTTGTTCCCTTCTCTACTTTTTAGGAAACAAAGTTGTCTTCAAGCTTTTGCTTGAGGCTGTTTTCCTATGGCAGGAAAACTGGGCTGCTACTGGGGCTGCCTTTGTTAAGATTTTTTCTCCTCTTTTAGGGGAAATATTCTATCCTGCATCTTTTTAATATTAAGAATAAAGAATATTTTAATCGGGGGGGTGGGGGAATCCAAATATGAGTAGAACTGTGATGTTGCATATGTGAATAAAAATGAATAGAAGATATGAAGAAAGAGTAACTAAAACTGGGATTGTATTAGACTGGCCATCTAAATGTTCCTTAGTAATTAGATATTTCTAATGAATAACAATCTTGATTAGTTTATACTCTATGTTATTAGTTGTTATGATAGAAAAATTCAATTTAAAATGAGTTTTAAAAATGGAACGAAGGGCTAGTGTACACAATAATCCTAATCGCAT